AGCTAACAGCAGCTCTACTTTGAGCTAACCGCAGCTCTACTTTGAGCTAACAGCAGCTCTACTTTGAGCTAACAGCAGCTCTACCTTGAGCTAACAGCAGCTCTACTTTGAGCTAACAGCAGCTCTACTTTGAGCTAACAGCAGCTCTACTTTGAGCTAACCGCAGCTCTACTTTGAGCTAACCGCAGCTCTACTTTGAGCTAACAGCAGCTCTACTTTGAGCTAACAGCAGCTCTGCTCTGAGCTAACAGCAGCTCTGCTCTGAGCTAACAGCAGCTCTGCTCTGAGCTAACAGCAGCTCTGCTCTGAGCTAACAGCAGCTCTGCTCTGAGCTAACAGCAGCTCTGCTCTGAGCTAACACCAGCTCTACTTTGAGCTTCAAACCAGTTGTTTCGAAACCAGCACTCCTCAATCCAAAGATGCCTCTTTGTTGACTTGTTTGTGTGAGGGATGGGGCTAATGGTGTACTAGCTGTGCTAGTACTTGTTAGCAACAATCCGAACTAGCGCACACACTGCACTGCATTGCTTTGTACTGCATTCAAGACTGACGTCATGCGCTTTGTTTTGCTGCGTAATCACAAATGGCACCAGCCCATTTTGCGGAAAAGAAAAACAAATCTTGCTTGCCCTGTTGTGCTCTTCCAGACAACGGATCGTGCTTCAGCAGTGTTTCTTTTCCCACCATCCCTCCCTAACCAACTTATTCACACCATCATAATTATCGTACCCACTAATCGGGTCCACTCTCACAACTGGTGTTATCTAGCTATTTGCTGCGGCTCTGCCTTGCGCTATATTACATCCATTTAGCATTGCAGCTCTACGTTGAGCTAACAGCAGCTCTACTTTGAGCTAACAGCCGCTCTACTTTGAGCTAACAGCAGCTCTACTTTGAGCTAACCGCAGCTCTACTTTGAGCTAACAGCAGCTCTACTTTGAGCTAACAGCAGCTCTACTTTGAGCTAACCGCAGCTCTACTTTGAGCTAACAGCAGCTCTACTTTGAGCTAACAGCAGCTCTACCTTGAGCTAACAGCAGCTCTACTTTGAGCTAACAGCAGCTCTACTTTGAGCTAACAGCAGCTCTACTTTGAGCTAACCGCAGCTCTACTTTGAGCTAACCGCAGCTCTACTTTGAGCTAACAGCAGCTCTACTTTGAGCTAACAGCAGCTCTGCTCTGAGCTAACAGCAGCTCTGCTCTGAGCTAACAGCAGCTCTGCTCTGAGCTAACAGCAGCTCTGCTCTGAGCTAACAGCAGCTCTGCTCTGAGCTAACAGCAGCTCTGCTCTGAGCTAACACCAGCTCTACTTTGAGCTTCAAACCAGTTGTTTCGAAACCAGCACTCCTCAATCCAAAGATGCCTCTTTGTTGACTTGTTTGTGTGAGGGATGGGGCTAACATGTATTAAGTCGACGATACTGGTGACTTGTTTCGAAATGTTGTTCAAAAGCGGCAAGATTTGCCACAGTAGATCCAAAAGTCAGGGTGAAGAACAGGCCCGTCTGGAACACTCCAGGAGTGGTCAGGATAACACTGTTAAGAAGGCTAGATTAGAAGCACGTCCCTTGCCCCATCCCCCATCTCATCCCTACCACACAATACCATGTTCTCCGGAGTATAGGCCGCAACCAGATTCTTTCAGAAAGTGGTGGACATCACGCAACTGCATTGCAAATAAAAGCGGGTTTGTCAACTGACGACCGCTCTATTCAGTTACAAGTAGATTTGTTGCTATTCGCTCGGAGTGAATAGCAACTACATGGAGCGGTTGTCAGTTCACAAACTCCCTTTTATTAACCAGATTCTTTGTCACAAAAATTAATACAATCGTGACATTTCATTGAAAACCAACTCCAGGTAGCAATGTCTGGATCAGCTGTGGTACAGTACGTATCGCCTATAAGGTTGGCGGCTATAGTACTATACCGGATATAGTGATCAATTTCTCAAATTCATTTTCATTTGCCATAACTAAGTATACACAGTTATCGCGTATAGTAATAATCGTCTATAGTAATATATCGCCTATAGGGATCAAATTCTTATTTCAAAAGACATTTATTACAAGTACATTATTTTTGCATCGATTATAGTGATTGATGTAAATTCAAGTGGTGTCAGAGGAAAACAGGGTGTTACTTCTTCGTGAAGAACTAACTTGTCCAGTGTTGTTTGGTGAATTCTGCTTGTACAAGTTGCCAAAAATGCCTCCATCGTGAGGAAATGCTGATGATGTGTGACATGAGCTGTAGCCACCTATGCAGTGCGTATGTATACGGCGCCCTGAGTCGTTTGACACCCCACTCGCATACATTGCATGCAGTATCGGTCATAGTGATATATCGCTTATAGTGATAAAAATGCTCAAAATCAAACACCAACGCTATAGGCGATACTGACTGTATTCTGATTGTATTTCAACCTGTGCTTTCACTATAGTCGAAGCCGATATCCTGAGGACCATCCCAAAGTCTGTGACTGTTCTGTACTGACACAACATGCCGCTGCCAGGAGGAGTCGGTTTTCCACGATTTGAGAGATGACGAGAAGTAATCAGCCCATGAACCGAAAGCCCCATCCGGTCTGACAACCTTGGTGGACAATCAAACTGTTTGGGGGATGGTGAAGTGAAGGAAATTTTGCACCTCAAACCAAACAATAAATGTGTGTTGAGATCGAGTAATGTATTAGTGTTAGCAGCCTTGGTGAAGGTTTCGGGTACCATTCGAATCCAACCAAGTCGATACTTCTAGTGCGGCGCTTGATCTATTCGCTGACACAGGCGTTCGAGTGAGGACGGATGGCTGTCGTCATCTTAGCGCAGCCCTCGGCACTGCTCCATTCGTCGGAGATTACCTGGCTGACAGAGTGAGCGGATGCCTCGGGCAGGTGAACAAGTTGTGTGAGTTTGCTTAGTCGCAGCCGCAGGCAGCCTACCATGCTTTGGTGAAGGGGCTGCAGAGAAAATGGATGTTTCTTTGCCGGACGGTGGAGGGTGCTGCAGAAGCCCTCAAGCCATTGGAGGAGGCTATTCATCACAAGCTCCTACCAATGGTAACTGGATACCACCCTAATGAAATGGAGAGGGAAGTGGCTTCCTTTCCTTGCCGACATGGTGGTTTGGGCATTGTAGTCCCCATCACTCAAAACCACCAGAACACAACATCGAAGACCTGTCTCGTCAAGTCGCGTGCATGCGTGATATGAGCATGCACGATTTTGTAGTCGAGAGTCCTTTTGTCAGTGTTCTTGTTCGTCTCTGTCAGAGCAGTTTGCTTTTCCGTCTTGTAAATATAAATAATGTAACAAACAAGTCTTGTCCTTTGTGTCCTGTGTCCCGGGGCAGTGTCTGCTCCAGCGCCGGGTGAGCCGGGTAATCCACCCGGTTGGGCGGCGCTTGGACCTGGTTGAAAATACAGTACCGGGTCACCTGTGACCCGGTTAGTACTTCACACTTTTCAACTATAATTGCAGTTACTTTGAAAGGACTGACTACATGGCTTGCATGTGTCAGATACTTCTTCTTCTTTCGTAATTTTCTAATTCCTTTCCTCTTTTTTCTAAATGCGGTTTATCCATTCGCCTTTATATCATTGGGCCTAGTTCCCGTTTATTGTCCGAAATAAAATAAACCAACCAACCAGTTAAAGCATGTGACTTGGCTGGTGAGACAAGCGCCACGTACATGTGTACCCGGTTCCGACCCGGTTGAAATGGTTGCGCCAGGTACACGTGTACCCGGCTGTCCTACCATCCTAGAGCAGACACTGCGGGGAACGGAATGGCTTCGATTCCGCAACATTCCTGTTTCCGAAGCCCGGCTAGTTGACAACTAGCTAACATCGGGTGACGGATACAGACTGGTCTAACAGAGAATATCTTGAATGGAGTTGTCATTGTGTGCAGCCGGATTGTCAAGTTTCATTTTCTTTTTCTTTTTAAATTTTTGGTTTGTTTTGTTTTTGCTTTTTCTTTAGTTTTTGTGTCAGGTCAGTGATATCATGTTCTGTGACTGCCTGTATAAGAGGCTTACTGTAAAACCGGGAAGTCTAACGACCAAAAAGTTAAACGTTTTTGTAATTTTGGCATGGTAACGTGCAGAAAGTGTAACGATAGCTACCTGGCCACCCACCTGTATGCGCATCTTTACACAGACATCTCGTGATAACGGTTTTCAAATAACGAAAAGAAATTGGTCGTTAAAACGTTAGACTTTGTGACCCGTTAGACTTTCCGGTTTTACAGAATTCAACTTGTTAGAATTCTTCCTCTGTCCACATAGTGTGTGCTCCATGGCACAATCGACAGAGCTTCCAAATGCAGAAGATAATGGTGCCCAACGGAATGCGATGGCGTGAGTCCAGTAAGCGCTGGGAGCTGTGCAGCCCAAGGCCTACACGCACTGGGATGGGAACTGGTGCAGGGTACAAACTAGAACTACAGTGCAGGCAACTGAAATCCGACCCCTGAGCGGTGTGCTCACATCGCAAAGACTCAACAAGGGATGGTAAAACTATGAAATAGAGACCGCTAGAATGTGAACGCATCGCTCAGGGGTCGGATTTCAGTTGTCAGCAGTGTATGTGATTGAATGTATCAGAGCAGCCCCGTAGAGAGTGGTGTCATCAGGTCTAGTTTGTGAGAACTAGACCTGGTCTAGTGAGAAGGCATTCTACTGCCTGTAATTCTGGTGAAGTAAAATAAAGTAACAACAACAACAACAACAACATTACTTTTACTGTCTCGCACTAAGCCATCCTAAGGCAAGGAATATATTCTCCGAAGTACAAGCTGCATTATAACCACCAGTAACCCATCCAAAGAACTCGGTGCGCCTTATGCTACTATGGTCAAATTACCCGTGATAAACGGGGCAGATGTCATTTCCTGACAAAAAGTCTGGATGCGGCCTATACTCCAGTGAGACTTATACTCTGGAAAATACGGTACTAACAGATTATAGTCACATGACCACAGG